CACTGTGGACGCTGCTCTACCTGCAGGTGCCGGGGCTTGCCACAGTCCACTCCTCCTTGTGCCACATCCAGCGATATCGTGAGTGGCTGGAAATCAGCCAGAATGGGATCATTTATGGAAATGCTATGAATCAAGGCTTGATTTCTTGTTTTGTTCATTGTCTGGACTTAAGAAGGCAATGGGAAAAATTGTCAATAACGCGGATTAAACTGAAACTGTTGTCTTGTCGATAGCTGCTATATTGTGAACAGCTCACAAATAGTGGAAGGACTATTCTTCTAGTATTCCAATATGTGATGTAGGAGTTATTTAAATCACTGACTAACAAGTGAAGTTCTGACATGTGTTTCATATTCTACTTTATTGTAAATGAAAATATCACCCGGCGATTCATGTTGGAGCTACATGCCGAGAACCAGCTGTTAAACACTTACCAGTACACCACAGAGTGTACCTCATATATTTTCTAATTCTGGGCACCTGAATAATCAGAGAGACCTTCCTGGAAGAGGCAGGCAGCCTCCATAGGGCAGACAGATGCAAAGAAAGGAGAGGGCAGAGGGAACGGCACACACAAACGCCAGGTGATGACAAGAGTGGGTTTGAAGTAAACCGAGAGTTTCTGAGAACTGTTTATGGGTAAGATCACATGGCCTAGCTACAGGGACCCGTACCATAGCTCTTAGGGGAGACAGTCATTCATTTATTCTGTGATGGCAAGATGAATAGCATGGAAGTGCTGCTCCACATTCAGTGAGAGAGAAAAACGCCTCATCACAACAGGACCTGGGATAGAGACAAGCCCACATGAATGGTTTGGGAGAAATGCCTCAAGATCAGGGATAGACCATGTGCTATCTGGGTGCCTGAGGAATGTCCTATTGATGAGGTGATATTATCTCTGGGTGTTGATGGATGAATACAAGTTCACCAATCAGAGATGGTAAAATGGCACAGGCAAAGTCATAGTGGCAAAGAAGGGCTGGGTATATTTCAGTCGTGAAGAAAAGGCAGAGGGGTAGAAATTAAGCCAGACAGAAAGGCCTCCTGTAAATGACAACTTTTCATTTGCACTAATCCAAGTCAGACTCAATTGTGAAATTCAACTCTGCCAAGGGAGGCATGGGAGAATAAGGGGAGACAGTTAGAGTGGGAGCCAGGAATTTGCCCGGCTCCTTTCTCCAAAGAGCTCTGGGCTCCTTGACATCCATTAGCGCTCATACCCTCCATGAAGAGTGTACTCCTACCATGCAATGTTGGAGAACTCCCCACCCCATCCTCCTTCTCCCCCAGCCCTAGCGCAGATGGAGCGGCTGAAGCAGTCACACTACGCCCAGGCTTTCAGACCATCAGGTGGAGGAGAATGGGCACTCAAGCCTCAGGGTCCTCGCTGGTTCCCAGCACAGACACCTACAGAGGTTCCATCCACACTTCTGGAGCCTGTGGCCAAACTCACACTCAGAGACCTGAGATTATAGGTGTCCTCCTGTGGAAATTATAACACAGTGATATTTCCCTCCAGAGGTTGCAGCTCTGCCCTTGTGTGCAGACTTCAGATGACCCTGAAGAAGCGGCCCAGAAAGAAAAATGACTGAGCTGCATCTGTGACCTGCTCACACCGAAAACACCATCAGGGCTGCTGTGCTGAGACTCAGGGCACAGAGACCACCTTCAGCAGCCTACCTAGCCAGGATCAGTGTCGCCCTTACCATCCACTGGACTGTTGGCCCCTGTGCAGAGAGCGCCTGTGTCTGATCTATCTCTGTAGCCCCCACAGGGTATCTCAGGAAGAACACGGTGGTCCCCCTTGACCCAGTTTCTTAAACCAGCTGGCAGGAAGGGAGGAGTATGTGCTCTTTACGACAAGAGCAGGCATCAGATGGCTTGGTGCAGCATCCTTCCTAACCAAACCCAGTTTCAGTTTGAGAAGCTGCTTATGTGTGCCTGGTACTGGAACTCTCCAAATAGCTCAATCCTGGTCTTTTTTTGAGCTTATTTCTGCAGTTCTTCTGACACTGTGATCCACCTGCCACCATAACCTTCTAATTAATTCCTTCTTGACAATTTGGCCAGAGTCTGTCGCTGTTGTTTGCAACCAAATAATCCTGATTGCTATGGACGTGACAACTCACCCCAGCTCAGAGCGCTATGCCTCCAGGACTCTCCCAGAGAACAATAACAATCACACACACACACACACACACACACACCCACACCTGACACCCAGAGGTGCCGGCTCAGCCCTGCCCCTGCACCTGTCAGCATCTAGCAGCAGCTGCCACATCCATAGAGCACACAGGGCTTCCACCTGCCAGCTCTGACTCAATCTGACTCTGTCTGCACCCTGGTTGAGGGCAGCTTTCCTTTTTTGCTGGTTGCCATGCCCGTTTTCTCCTGATCCTCCGGAGTGCCAGACCGCTTCAGGCATTGGGGATAGAAGCTCTGCAGGCACAGGTGCACAGAGGGACAATCACTGGAGCAATGCAAATAGAGACTTGGCAGGATGGGTCTGGCTGTGCCTGGCCCCACCCCCACACTAGGGGACAGCCACCTCACCACCTGGCCCTGCCCCTGGAAAGAGCACAGGTAACCCCATCTCCACTCAGCAGAAGTGCTCACTCTTAGTTCTCCCCACACATGAATCCACTCGCTTCTCCTCTGCTCCCCGGCAGAGGTTTACCAACTGTCTGCCTGTGCCAAACTGCTGGACACCCACGGGTGGACCAGCTTTCAACCTCACCGTGGAAGTGCCCACAGTGCAGAAGGGAAGACATGCAGTGACCACATGTGAAGGTGGCACCCATGGGGAGGTGGCATCAGCCCTGTTGAGAAGCCTTCATCTCTACCCACCCTCACCAGCCCCACCCCAAGTTCTGGAAGCTAGAACTCCAGTTCTCCAAGTGCCCCCACTGCTGGTGAGCAGGACTGGCAGAACCAGACTTCACTGAGCATTCCAGAATTTTCATCCTTAGAAAATATTTATCCCAGGGTTCAGGGATAATCTAGGAGTGGGTGAATGCCTTATTCACTGGGGCCTCCCTGGATTGCTACTCATAAATATAACCTGGGCCAAATCAGCTCCTTCCTCTCCCTGCTTCCTGCCCACCCAGGAAAGGAGGTACCTGTGTCTAGCCCCTTCTTGCAAGAGCTCTCAAGGAGATGAGACAGAGAAGCAACCTTCTTATGGAGTGAAAGCACAAGAGCAATCAGAGAGGAAGCAGGAAAAGTGAACACAAAACCTTAGCATGTCCTTTTGCCAAAGCTTTGGACCAGCTCCTGTGGGACATTGCCACCCCGCCTTGCCCTGCACACCACCCCGTGTGACTCCGGGAAGTCCAAGTCCTTTGTCGCATAGAGAGGACGCAAACCATGTGCTGCAGCAGGCTCTGTGCCACTCCTGATGCTCTTTCCTAGCAGATTCCTCAGAGGGGGTGCCTGACATCAGAGATGAATGTCGGCCAGTGTCTCCCAAAGAGGCAGATGCAGAAACATCACTCCTCTCTGTGACCCTGAGCAAAGCACTCAACCTCTCTGAGCCTCAGGTTTCCATCTGTAAAATGGGCTCAGGCTAAGTTGTCTCTCTAGCCCTTCCCAGACCTACCCATCTATGATTAATTGGATGAAACCAATTCTCCCTCTTTTTCCAGGAATAACTGGTCTGCTTGAAGCCCCATTGCTGAGCTTCCATGAGCTCACACAGAAAGACACACACACACTCACACACATACACAGTATGTGTACACAGACACATATGCACTTACACTAACACACACTTATATACTCATACACACACACACACATACACTCTCACATACACATACACATAAACTCACACCACTCATATAGACTACAGACAAACACACACACACACACACACACATACACACATTAATGAATACACACATGCCAGCTTGCATTCACATTTGCTCTTTCCTTCTCTCTCTAGAGGACAGCTGTGACCCACACAATGTCCTTCCCAAGCATAGAAGACTGTCCCTACTCTTCCTGGCCCTGCTGTGCCTGGAACCACCTCAGCAGGTGCCTCCCTGGGCTACACATGCTGCCCACAGCCACATAGCCCGAACATGAGAATGGTGTGTAGTTCCCTGAGCTGGGACGCGACAACCCCTGCTCAGCACTAAAAAGTGTCACATCTTTACAGCAGGATGGAACATTTGCTATCAGGATGCTTCATGGGATGAAAATAGGAGTCACCATTTATCGGCTACATAAGTGTCGACATGACAAACAATAGTATTAATAAATGAAATAAGGTACCTTGTTCATTGCATTTTCATAAAAACCCCATGAGGAAAGCTATGTATCTCAATCCAGGTGCATTTGTCTCCAGTCTGCCAAATGCCATCCTGATAAACTCAGGGCAGTCCCAGCTTTTAGAGACCATTGTGGATCCAGACACCACCAACTGATGAATTAAATATCCCACCCAGCTTCATGCTCCAACAACGTTAACACCCACATCTTAATAAGAAGGAGGAGGAGGATGGAGAAGAGGAGAGGAAATTAGGAACTCGCTGGGGACCTTTCATCCCATTTGGGACCCCCAAGGGTCACCATTGTCCCATGCATCAGCACTGCATGGAGTAAGATCAGTGACGCAAGGGCACAAGATGTCCCCCAGAACCCCAACAGAACAAAGGCCAGACTGAAGCCCTGAAAGGTGGAAAAACAGTCTGGCAGGGTTCATCCCCAGGGAGCCTCTGCCAGCTCCTCATGCCCGTCTCTCCCCTGCCTACAGACTCACAGCCTTCTTCTTAGTCTGGGATCTTCCTCAGGGCCAATGTCAGATTTGAGTCTCATCCACCTCCAGGCTTCATGTCCAGCACCTGTCAGACAGCACCTCAGATGGGGGATCTCATTCCGGGTCATGCCATGCCCTGGCCAGGGCATTCTCTGGGTCAGAGCCCTGGGCACATGAACAGCAGCTCAGCACTGCTGACTCCTGCTTTCCTCCAGGGACCCGCCTGCACCCTTTGCACCTGCAGATCCTCCTCCGTCCAGACCGCTGTGGGCACAGCGGAGCTGCGCCTTCCTCCCCTTCACAGGCACCAGCTGCCCTAGACGGCGATGGATCTACACAGCCCTTGTTCTTCTTGCTCCGAACATGATATGAAAAGATGCTTTGTGGTCGTCAGCTCTCCTCAGTAGACTCAGTGCATGCCCGGGCTCTCGCCCCCTGACACTCTTTAGTGGTCCTCGTCACTCTGTCATTGTGAGTGTCCTGGGGAGGGCTCCTCTTGTCCTCCTTGGCCCTCATCCCTCTGACCTCAGCAAGACATCTTTCTGAGCCACACAGATGTCTCTCATTGCCACCCCATGTCCTTCCTACTCGAAAAAAACAGATTTAATTTCAGGACTCCCCCACCGCTTTCAGAGCTCTCACATCATGGGGAATGGAGTGATGATCTTCGAAACTTACTGAAACCAAGCTCCCCAAGTCTACAAGGAATCTTACTATGCTGGCCCTCCCCACCAACACAGGGCATATCTCCCCAAGGCTCCCAACCCACTTGGGCCAGCAATCAGGGTCCGCTATTACCCAACTCAGTAGGTGTTGCATCCTGGGAGATGAAGCCTCACAACCCCATGGTGTTAAGAGCTTGTGGTTCTCCGTTTTTTACCCATCCCCTGAGCCCTGACTGTATACCGATCATTCCCTCATTTTGGAACCACTGGCCACATTCTCCCGCATTACCTGTCTGTCTATACCTTAACCAGGTTGTCTCATGTAACCTTCAAGCCTTCCATCCAAAACAGACGTTAAGTGCATAGGCTCCAGAGTCAGAGGCCTGGACTCCAATCCAGCTCTGCTCTATCCAACCTGTGATGTTGGGCAAGGTATGGATCCTCTCCATGCCTCCGTTTTCTGATCTGTAAAGAGGGTCACACTGGTGCTCTCTTCACCAGGTTGTTGAAAGATTAGAAGGATTAATACAGAGAAAGTGCTAAGGAACCTGGCTCAGTAAACTTGAGGGGAATCAGTTCTTATCATACTGAGTGCAAAGGGACAGAGTCCACCCCATGGTGGCCTTCCCGTTACTCCTGAGCTCTCAGGGACCAGCGCACAACACTGGTTAATGAATGACCAAGCAGCCTGGGCATTTTTCTCCTTCCTGCTCCACCTACAGAGGAAAGAACTCTTGGCAAACAGCTGGGTGACCTCTTTTTCTTGATATGTCTGAAGGCACTCCCTGCCTCAAACCAACTGGCCAGCCTCCAGCTGTTCTGAGCTGCAGGTCAGGCACCAGATCTTATTCAGAGACACCATGTACCCCCCTCCCCCCATGCAGTGCTTTGCTGCATCTGCCTTTCTCTTCAGCTAAAACACATGAGAGCAGAAAATACCTCGTCTTCCAATCCTTTGGTGTCCCTAGTCTCTAGAGAAGCTCCCCAGATCCTTTTGGAATATTCCAGAGACAATCATCTACAGGCCTTTTCTGCATTTGGGCTGTGAGGTCCTGGGGTTTCCTAAGAAGGGGAATATACCTGTCTCCAGGCATCCTCCTGGCTCCGGCACACTGAGGAAATTCAACACTGAAGGTGATCCAGGCTTTCCCAGAGGCTGGCTGGTGGTGCTGGGGTGATGAGCACTTCCTGGCCAGCCCTTACAGGCTCTGTGGCCGGTTATGCCTGGAGTCCTCTAGCAGCAACATCTGCTGCATTCCAGCAAAGCCAAGTGCAGGAGACTGAGGACACGGCCACTCCCATGGCAGCAGGGAGGGTGGCCCTAGGACAACATAACTTGGCCATGTGAACCCTCATGGAGTGGATGTGATTCCATCACCCACTCAGATGCCTGAGACTGTGCAGAGGGCACATTCACTGCTTCAAGGAGGCCCTGCTATGTGGATTGAGAGTCTGCCATGGACATGCTGAAGATGACCAGGACATAGAACAGGGAGCTGCGTTCTGCCAAACAATACCAATAGGCAATGGCTGTTGCCATGTGGAGTGATATTTTAGATATTATATGTACTGAGGCTGCAGCAACATGGAAGTCACATAACGGGACTGAATTAGCCCTGGTCACTCAGGCTCCAGGACACAACTTGTGTTCCAGTCAGCCCTGTCACTCTCTACCTGCCTGACTGGGACAAGCACTCTGGACCTCCGACTCTTCATAAGTAAAACAAGAACAGTGATCTTCACTTCAGGGGCTCATGAACAGTACTCAGCAGGGCTCTGTGCATGCCAGGTAGCAAGAGCACATGGAACGGCAGCTCTCTTCCTAACACAACTAGAGAATGAAGGTGGAGCCTGAGAGGGTGGTCCCAATTTCACTGGCAGCCTTCAGGAAAAAAGTCCGTGATTTTACTTAGGCTACTCCATCCGACCTTCCCAGATTCCAGCAATAGCATCTTCTAAGGAGAAAAACATAGTGACGTTCTTACAGAGACACAGACCACTAATGCATAAAAATAAATTTAAAAGTATTGAAACTTGTCTTATTTTTTAAATAATTGGTGTGATTATCTGTTTCAAACAAAAGTTGCCACCTCCTGGATGTCTGAAAAGAAATCTGACATGCAAAGCAGATGTGATGATTCTAAATCATTTGGAAAGCCTATTATCCCTCCCCCCAGAATCCTCATACACTGGGGATCAGGGATATAAAAGACAATTTAACTTTTTTCTTTTTGAGATGGATTCTCACACTGTAGCCTAGACTGGAGTACAATGGTGGGATCTCAGCTCACTGCAACCTCTGCCTCCCAGGTTCATGTGATTCTCCTGCCTCAGCCTCCCAACTATCTGGGATTACAGGCACACAACACCACACCTGGCTAATTTTTGTTTTGTTTTATATTTTTAGTAAAAATGGGGTTTCATTATGTTGGCCAGACTGGTCTCAAACTCCTGACCTCATGATCCAAAGTGCTGGGATTACACGCACGAACCACCATGCCCAGCAGACAATTTAACTTTTTAAGCTAGAAAAAAAAAAAAAAGCCTCACAAATCACAGTTTCATGCACATACCTATGAATTTGTCCAAAATTCTTTGAATCTAGCATATGCAAGTTTTTTCACTGAACACACTGCAATGTGTTCCTTCATCAAATTTAATTTCTGTTTAATTCTTTGTGATTTATCTATGATGGGATTTCCATTTCTGTATCAATCAAAAGTTAAATTAGTTGAATTTTCATTGAAGGTCATAATAAGCTACAGTATCAGGTTAAATTATTCCCAAGAAGCGAAAGCTTCATGCTTTAGTTGATATTCAGATCTTTAGAAACAAATGGCTCTTTTATAACTTAGTGTATATATAATTATGTATTTGTGTGTATTTGCACATATATATGTTATAAAATATCATTTAAATTAAATCACATCTCTCTGACAAGTTTACATTTTAATCAAGAAATGAAAAATTGTCTCTCTATAGTTCTATGTTTTCCCTCAAAAATGAATGAGGCTTGATTTTCTAGAGTTCATCACTTTTGCATCTACGACAATCTTTGACACTAACATGAAATACCTTCCCCTTGGCCCTCCTACCTAATGTACATAAAATCATTAATTTCAAATGCCATAATTACTGCCATAAAATGTCTAATGTCTTCCTCAGGAGTAATTAAGTAACTTCATTTCTGCACATCAGTGGCATTGGCAACTACATATTTTAGAGATTTACTGTTAATTTCTTATTTCCAAGCTTTCTCAAATGTTTCAAGTGCAAAGTCCTGGCCTCCCACTGTCTTCCCACAACGCTGTTCTGAATTCTGTCCCTTTCCTCCCCAGCACCTGGCATTGCACACCCTGCCCAGGAGGCAGGTGTGGGTGGGAACGCCCCTAAATGCTTCTGCAAGGCTTAGCTTCCTGCTGTGCTGTCTGCCTCTACTAGTAAAGGCAAAATGTCAAGGAAAGGATTCAATCAACCCCTTGTCTCTAAAAAACCAGGTATGTTCTTTCAGCTTATTCTAAAAACTCATTATAATGAGATCATTGGTATTCCCCCGCCCCAGGAAAGGCAGTGAACAGGTTACATGCCCAGATCTTTGGATATAATCTGTTGGAGAAAGGATCTGGGGCCAATGCATGGTTCTTACCCTACTGCCCAGCCCAAGCCTGGGCTGAGAATAAAAGAGCAATACAGGATAAACCCAGGGAGGGACAGAGGGAGGGGTGAAAAGAACTGCAGCCTGAAAGTCACCATAGGAGAAAAAAAAATCATAGGCAGAATTGTTGAGTGCTGAAAAACCAACGGGAAGAGGGAGAAGGTGGGGGAGAAGAATAAAGAAAGAGAGAGAAAGGCGGGGGGGGGGAAGAGAGAGAGAAGGAAATGAAAACAGGAAGACAATAAAGAGGAGATAGAGGGGGAAAAGTGGGAAAGAAGAAAGGGAACAGAAACGGGGTTGGGACTCGGAGAGGACGTGGGAGAGCTGGAGGAAGCTGGCGACAGAGGGAAAGAAAGGACCCCACAGTCAAAGGCAGGACTCAACAACCCTGTCCTGGGGAAATGCAGTGGAAGTGAGATGGACCCCGCCGCCCGCGCCCGCTCGCGGCTCTGTCCCTGCAGACAGGAGGGGGCGCCTCACCTGGGCTGTCCAGAGAAGTGGGGCACGGGGCGCTGGTGCAGTACAGCCTCCTGCCGGCCAAGAGCCCAGCGCGCGGCTCTGAACTTGGCCGTGGAGCCCTGAGGGTGGCGAGGTCCCGCCCCACAGCCGCTCCCGCCTTCGAGGCGGGGCCTCGGCGTCGCCAACCCCCAGGGGAGCGCCAGCCTTCGAGGCGGGGCTTGCGGGTGAACCGCCCTGGCGGGGGAGGGCGCAGCGGATCCGAGAACCCGCAAAGCGGGAGAACTCGGTCTCAAGAGTCTGGGCGGCCGGGGGCTTCCCGGGCTCAGCCCCGCGGAGACGCCCCCAGCTGGCTCCGGTTGAACCTTGCTCCGGAGCCTGCGGGAGGGCTAGGGCGTCCTTTGGAGGTGTCACCCGCTCTCGCCGCCGCCCTCTGGTCCTTGGCGCCCCGACCTCTCGCTACTGGGCCCGCGGGTCCTCGGCGATGCGGGCGGGGGCTGTGCCCGGTGCCTGCGGCTCCCGTGTGCACCGAGGACCCCCGTGGCCTCCTGGCTCTCTTTCCCCTCGTAGCCTGGCGGCCCCTAGAACAGCACCTCCCCAGCGCCCGAATCACCCAGCTCCTCCCGGGAGCGCCTGGCCACCTCTCCTCCCTAGGCCCCAGCTCTGACCGCTTAGTGCTCAGCCGGGAAGGCGGGCTCCGCGACCCCTGAACCCGGAGGTGTCAGGGAACTTAACTGCCCCTGGAGGGTGGAAGGGGGTCAGGGTGGAAAATGACAGTTAAGTGCGTTACAATTAAGAACTTATGCTTTGATTAAAAAACAATAAACGGAGTGAAAAGGCAAGCCACACATTGAAAGAAAATAGTTGCAGCAATTGATAAAGGATTAGTATCCAGGATATATGAAGACTTTTAATAAGATAGTGTGAAAGAGAGGAACACCCAAAGCAAAGAATGGACACAGCCATGAATAGGCACTTCAAAGAGGAACCATGAATGACCAAAATCATGAGAACGGATCAGTCTCTAGAGTAATTAGAAAATGCAAATTAAGACCACAAAGAGATGTTTAATCATTAGGCATAAATATTAAAATACAACAACAAGTTCCATGAAAGGCATGAAGCAAGAGAATCCTAATATGCTGTGGAGAAGTACACCCAATTTCACTGATGATAAAACACCACTAATTTAAGATATTCTGTTACACTAAATACAACTCCAAAAGAGGGGGGAAAACTGATAACCAACCAACTCAATGCTTCTCATCACTTGTAATTTTTAAGTTATATAAAGTATATATTATCAGTACATTCTCACACTGCTATAAAGAACTGCCTGAGACTGGGTAATTTATAAAGAAAAGAGGTTTTAATTGATTCATAGTTCAGCATGCCTGGTAAGATCTCAGGAAACTTACAATCATGGTGGAAAGGGAAGCAAACAGGTCCTTCTTAACATGGTGTCAAGAAGGAGAAGAATTAGAGAAGTGCAGACTGAAGAGGGTAAAAGCGCCTCATAAAACGGTTAGACCTTCTGAGAATTCACTCACTCTCATGAGAACAGCAGGGGGCAACCACCACTTGATTCAATCACTTCTCACTAAGTCCTCCCCCTATGCATGGGGATTACAATAAAGAGTAAAATTTGAGATTTGGGTGGGGAAACAGAAGCAGACCATTTCATTCCACCCCTGACCCCTCCCAAATCTCATGTCCTCATATTTCAAAACATAGTCATGCCTTTCCAACAGTCCACCAAAGTCTTAACTCATTCCAGCATTAACCCAAAAGTCCAAGTTCAAAGTCTCATCTGAGACAAAGGAATTACTTTCCACCTATGAACCTGTAAAATCAAAAGGAAGTTAGTTATTTCCTAGATACAATGCAAGGGCAGGCATTGGGTAAATACGCCCATTCCAAACAGGAGAAATTGACCAAAACAAAGGGACTACAGGCCCCATACAAGTTTGAAACCCAATAGGGCAGTCATTAAACTTTAAAGTTCCAAGTGACCTCCTTTGACTCCATGTCTTACACTCAGGTGGTGCTTGATACAAAAGGTGGGCTCCCACGGCCTTGGGCAGCTCTGGCTCTGTGACTTTTCAGGGTATGGCTCTTCTCCCAGCTGCTTTCACAGGTTGGCATTGAGTCCCTATGGTTATTCCAGGTACACAGTCCAAACTGTCAGTGGATCTACCATTCTTGAGTCTGAAGGGCAGTGGTCCTCTTCTCACAGGTCCACTAGGTAGTGCCCAGTGGGGACTCAGTGTGGGAGCTCTAACCCCACATTTCCCTTCAGCACTGCCCTAGCAGAGGTTCTCCATGAGGGCCCTGCCCTTGCAACAAATGTCTCTGGGCATCCAGGTGTTTCCATACATCCTCTCGAATCTCTAGGCAGAGATTCCCAAACCTCAATTCTTTCTTTTTTCTGACACACAGTCTCACTCCGTCACCCAGGCTGGAGTGCAGTGGCATGATCTCAGTTCACTGTAACTTCTACCTCCTGGGTTCAAGTGATTCTTTTGCTTCAGCCTCCCAAGTAGCTGGGGTTACAGGCACCCACCACCATGCCAGGTTAATTTTTGTATTTTTAGTACAGATAGGGTTTCACCATGTTGTCCAGGCTGGTCTTGAACTCCTGACCTCAGTTGATCTGCCATCCTTGGCCTCCCAAAGTTCTGGGATTATAAGCGCGAGCCACCATGCCTGGCCCCAAACCTCAATTCTTGACTTCTGTGTACCCGCAGGCCCAACAGCATGTGCAAGCTGCCAATGCTTGGGGCTTGAATCCTCTCAAACAACCGCCCAAACTGTACTTTGGCTTGAGCTGAAGGGGCTGAGACACAGGGCATCATGTTCCAAGGCTACATAGAGGAGCCTCTATGCAGGCCAATGGGCCCGGCCCACAAAAGCATTTTTATCTCAGAGGCCTCTGGGCCTGTGATGGGAGGGGCTGCTATAGGTCTCCGAGATGCCCTGGAGACACTTTTTCCCATTGTCTTGATGATTAACATTTATCTCCTCATTATTTATGCAAATTTCTTCAGCAGGCTTGAATTTCTCCCCAGAAAATGGGTTTTTCATTTCTATCACATCTTAAGGCTGCAAATTTTCTAAACTTTTATACTCTGCTTCCTCTTGAGCCCTTTGTTGCTTAGAAATTTCTTCCACTAGATACCCTAAATCATCTCTCTCAAGTTCAAAGTTCCACAGATAGCCAGGGCAGGGGCAAAATGCCACCAACCTCTTTGTTAAAACATAGTAAAAGTCACCTTTATCCTAGTTCCCAACAAGTTCCTCATCTCCATCTGAGACCCCCTCAGCCTGAATTTCATTGTCCATATCACTATCAGCATTTTGGTCAAAGCGATTCAACAAGTCTCTAGGGAGTTCCAAACTTTTCCACATCATCCTGCCTCTCTTCTTCTGAGCCCTCCAAACTGTTCCAACCTCTGCCTGTAACCCAGTTCCAAAGTTGCTACCACATTTTTTTGGTATCTTTATAGCAGCACCCCACTACCAGGTACCAATTGATTGTATTAGTCCATTCTCATGCTGCGGTAAAGAACTGTTTGAGACTGGGCAATTTATAAAGGAAAGAGGCTTAATTGACTCAGTTAAGCATGGCTGGTGAGGCCTCAGGAAACTTACAGTCATGGCGAAAGGGGAAGCAGTCACATGATGTCAGGAAGGAGAAGAATAAGAAAATTGCAAAAGGAAGTGGGGGAAAGACCCTCACAAAACCACCGGATCTCATGAGAACTCACTATCACGAAAACAGCACACCACACCCATGATTCAATCACTTCCCATGAGGTCCCTCCCCCAACACATGGAGATTACAATTTGAATTATAATTCAAAATGAGATTTGAGTAGGAACAAAAAGCCAGATCGTATCATAGACTTGCTATAAATTTTCTAGAATTATATGCCACTCTTGTGCATACCAAAAATGGAGAAAATAAAACTGATTAAGGTATTTCTACAAATGTTTTATAGTAACAGTCTAACTTCTGAGTCCTGTTTGAATACCACTTGGTTGTGCCCATATTTTTTCACACACTATACCCTCTCTGCCATTTAAGCCCTGGTCATACAGCAGCTTTGACACTGGGGTGTGAACTCATTCCCACTCCTGCCCTAAAGCTGGGTCCCGTGTTCCCTCCCATTGATTCTTGGCAGCTGCAATGCTTGAACTAATAGCGTACAGTGGAAGTGATGCTGTGTGATTCCCAAGGCGATGTTATAAAAGGCTGTACAATTTCTGCCTTGCTCACTGAAAATACTTACCCTTGGAACTTTGAGCCACCTGTTAAAGCCCAAGCACCCTGAAGCCACCATGCTGGGAGGAAGCCCAGGTCACATGGGAGGCCACATGCAAGGCCTCTATTCACAGTCCCAGCTGAGCCCAGCTTTTGAGCCCTCCTGCCCAGGAACCACACTTGTGAGTGGAGGAGCCTCTAGATAATTCCAGTTCCCAATCATTCAAGTCATGTTGGGCTGTTCAAGCCTTCCCACTGGGGGCTCCAAACATGTGGAGCCCTCCCGACTCTGCCCTGAGGGCCTGATCCTCAGAACCTGTGAGCATAATAAAATGGGCTTTGTTCTGTGTCCCTAAGTGTGGGGTGGTCTGGTGCACAGCAGTAGAGAACCAGAATGTCCCTCATTCAAAGCACACTGGTAACACTGCAGTTTCCATCTCTTTCCATGTCTGCCATCCCCTGGGGGATTTCAGTATCACACAAATGACCTCTCACTGCCAACACTCTGGCCTCCCAGTTCTTGACCTCCTCACCCACACCTAAGTCACTTGGGCTAACTCTTCCAGTTAAAAAAAAAAAATTATTTTAAGGCAGAATTTGGGTTTTAACAGACACTGTGAGGGCTGTTGTAAGGGAATTAGAGGGTTTTGTCTTACAAACCCTCCACAGATCCTGACTCCCCCCTCGTGTTGCCAACATGCAGGACATTGGGCAGAGCTGCAGGTCACAGAGTTAGCTTG